AGCTGACTTTGGACCTTCCAGGCCCACAGAAAGTAAGGAAATGGGCCATTTCTAGCCTCCAGAGGGCCTCCAGGGGGGGTGGGGGTGGCTGTTTTCACCCGCCCCAGGCTCCAAGAAAGCCTCTGAAGCCTGGGGAAGGCAAAAAACAGGCCTTCCGGGTCCACCGGAAGTCAGGAAACAGGCTGTTTCTGGTCTCCAGAGGGCCACCGGGGATGGGGAGGCCATTTTTGCCCTCCCCAGGCACCAAGAAAGCCCCTGGAGCCTGGGGAGGGCAAAAAATGGGCCTATCAGGCCAACCGTTAACTTTTTTGCCATCGTGTGCCAAAAGCACGGGGAGCGTGGTGATGGTGGTGGTGGGTTTCGCACGTGCATGCATGGGGAGGCAGGGAGTGGGTGGCATTGAATTATGTGTGTGGGCATGTGCATGTGCAGCCCTCCCATGCTCCTCCCGCTTTTGGCACGCGATGGTAAAAAGGTTAGCCATCACTGGACTAGGCTATGATTTTTTTTCAAGTTTATTTAAGGACAAAACAAGGATGCCAACTCTCTCTCCTCTACTCTTAGTAATAATCGTTGTTGTTTTGGCCAACAAGATCCAACAAACAAAGAAAGAAACAGATAATTGGGATCAAAATTAAGGAATACAAGATGAAATGTTACACAGATATAGTATTAATAATCATGAAACCATGAAGTTCCACATAGCTGTTGTTGAAATTACTCAAAGATTTTCAGTGCTTTTCCAAATATAAAGCAATGAAAAGAAAACAAAGATAATAGCAAGGCACTTATCTTTTACAGAAAAACATTCTGTGTAAAAAGAATCTGGGTATGAAATAAACAAAAGACCCAGTGAAACATTTAGGATTTTACTTGGAGGATGTAACAAAAACATATTTTGAAACAATTACAATAAACTACAGGAAGAAATAAAACAAGAAAAGTGAGAAAAGTTTAAAACTTTCCTGGCTAGGAGCTACAGTGACAATAGAAATGGAAGTATTACTCAATATAAACTTCTTATTTGAAATGGCAACGTTTTAGAAATGAGTTCATTTTATTTATATTGTTGAAAATGCTTGAAATTAATGCTTATATTTATATATATTGTTCATGGTGGTAAAAGTATTGACTTTGGATTGAGATTTAATATTTTCAGTTCTGAGCAAAGAAAATAGATATACGGACGTGTGTTCAGCATCAGAAAGATAAATACCTAGCTCCAATTAGTATTTGGTGGTTTGCAGAATTTATTAGTATAGATCGGCTATGGATAACTGTAATGGATCATGGCTTAAGTTTCTTGATGTCTGCAAATATAAGTCTTGTGTGTTCTTGTTTTGTTTTCAGCTTTGTTTCTTTTTTTATAATTTTAAAAATAACAAAAGAAGGAAAAGTGAATAAAAATAAGGAGGAAAAAATCAAACATTTTGTTGCGTATGTACTAAGGGAAAAAAAGAGAAACACGGGCTCTATTTTTTAAGTATCTTGTAACTAACAAATAAAATAGGGCTATTAAACTTTGCAGCATCATGTTAGCCTCTTCATCTAATCTAAGATAGAGAAGCTAACTTAGATGGATTTAAAGCACTCACTTTATGGCTACATTTTATGGAAGTCTCTTCTTTCTCAACGTTAGCACAGGACTTCTACTTAAGTGTGTAACCTCTAGCTGTCAAGAAGATGAGGTTAATGGCGATGCTACACTGGAAATTATAGAAGAGCTGTTCCATTGTACACATTGTACATTGTTTCAATGTGCAGCCATATATCTTAACATTTCTTCTCCATAGAAAACTATTTTTCACCTTTCCTTCTCAAGCTTTCTTGAGGTTTAGTAAATAGTTTGAGATACCTTGCTTTAATATATATCTCCACAAAAAAAAGGTTTGCTATTTTAGTATACCTTCAGCGTAGCTATCTCAGTTTTATATTTTGACACAAAAAGCTTGATACCTATATCAAAGAGAAACAGCAGACCCTCCATTTAAAAATCCATCAAACTTGTTCAAACATATTAATTTACCTTAATTTTACATATACAGAAAACAAAAATCCTAGTACAATAACACTGTATGTATTTTAGGTGCTGCAAGTATTTCTTCTGCTACTGAAGACTGAAGCATGTACCAATTGCAGAAGAATGGACAAAATGCTAAATTATAATCTGGTTTGTTAATTTAATTTAGCTCTTGTGTAAACCTTGCATATAAGCCATGCATGAACTAAGTTACCAACAGAGACTATTTTGACAGCATATGCTCACAGATATTCAAGCAGACTCTTTCTCCTCAATTCTGACTGAAAATATCAGGATTATGCTCTACCAATCACCAATATTTAATTTTTGACTGTACCTAATCTTTATAGACTAATTTAGGCAGATGTTTGTTATTTACAAATATTCACTAGACCAGAGTGTACATCATCCATGTCACTTTCTGTTATTCGTGTAATATCATCATTATAGAAATGCCACATAACCTCATTTTAATCAATGTGTGTCATTTGCATAATATCATCATTATGCAAATGAAATTAATTGGAATAGAGTGGTCCATTTCACGCAAAGTCTGTTGCTTGAAGGCTGTTATGAGTGTAGTGATGAATATGTAACTCTCGTTAAACTATATTGTTGACTCAATTCTATTTTGTCTCCACTATTTCATTTTGTTTTTGTTACATGACTCTAAACATTTCCCCTATTTTAGCTTAAGCTTTAAGGTCCAGAAGCCATAAACAATATTTGTAGGAAATAGTTCCCTTTTTCACTCAAAACTGACACACTTATGCCCATTCAGTTAAGTGAATGGCAGGCATATCTAATTAGGAAAAGGGACCATAGTTTAGCAGGAGGCAGGAGGTTTCCAATATACTTTTATGTTTAGAAACCACAAGGAACAAACAAGATAATAAAAAGAACAACAAATAACCTTCCGAACTAAGATTGTGCACAGTGGTGGGATTCAAATAATTTAACAACCGGTTCTCTGTCCTAATAACTGGCTGGGTGGGCGTGGCCAGGTGGGCGTGGCTAGGGGTGGGATAGCACTCAGCCAGTCAAAACGGGGTGCGGGGGTTAATTACAATATGTGCGCTTTGCTTTGTGACATCCAGATCCAGTGAGCAAGGGGTATGAACTGCACAGAAAATACACTTTTTTTGGTTATGAAGACATATTCCCAAAGTCAGATGTACACTAAATGGAGACTAAGGGAGACTAAGCTAAGAGATAACCAAATAAAAAACAGATTTGAAGAAAGAAAAGGCTCAGGAAAGAAAAAAGAGTGAAAGTGCAAGAGGAAAGAGGAAAAGAAGGAAAACTGAAAAAGAATGAGTTCCAACGTTCTTTGGTACAGATATAAGTAAAAACAAATAAATTGAACTCTTAATCTAAGATTAACATTTGTCTATATTATTTCCATAAACCCTTATTTAATCATTAAAGCCCAGATCAACTTTTAATTTCAGTTTTTCACAAAAAGTCCAGTAATAGTTCGTATCACTTTAATCACTATTTGTCAATGAAACCACAACTGATTTATTTAATTGCATCAAACTCTAAATAAAACAGGAATGGAAAATCCTAAACTCTAGTGTAGACCCATGCTTCTCAACTTTGGCAACTTTAAGGTGCATGGACTTCAATATCCAGAATTACCCAGGCAGCATGAAGTTCACCCATCTTAAACTTGCCAAGACTGAAAAATACTGATCTACAGATAGGGATTTTTCCATTCCTCCTTTACTCCTACTACTTACAATCATAATGTAAAATTCCCATTCCCAACTCACCCTAGAGCAGACATTTTGGGCCTGGAAGGCCTCCTGTCCTGCACCACCCTGGAAGGCAAAATGGGACGTGGGGGGGGCGGGCAGCTCCCTCCCGTGCCCCGTTTTGGGCCTGGAAGGCCTCCTGCACCAACCTGGAACTTCAAAATGGGCCACGGGGAGACTCCTGGGAGGGGCGGGGTGGGTTGGTCGGGACCAGCCAGAGATAGGATTAACCGGTTCTCAGAACTGGGCAAAAAGTTAACAACCAGAACAAAAGCTATTTTCAATCCAACCCAATCATACAGCCCAATCAAACTTTCTTTATCTCTTTCTAACTTTTTCCTTATCATGAACAAAAGACTTTCATGAATCTTTTCCCATAAGTTCATGGCATACAAATTTTAACAATGTAGCTATAAGTGTGCTAAAAACTACTGATTATCCTGAAACAAATTCTGGCAATATGAAGATAGCTGTTGTGACTTAAATTAAGTAGCTGATATATTTTAGTAAGTTTTTAAAGCATTTGTAAGAGCAGGAGGGGGCAGTAGAAGAATTGTATGTCAGGTATCTTTTCTATTATGGCAACGTGTCAATAGAAGGACAAACTATCCTCTGTATTACTTATGAATATATTAAAGATTAAGAATTCATCACCTGCTGTGTAGGGATGCATATGTTATTAATTGAAAAGTTTGTTACAATTTTCTTTTTATGCTCCCTACATTTATTTACAACTGACTTTAAGTGAAATAAGATTAGATCATCAAGTCACTTCAGTGGTTGCTAATTCAATTTATTTAAGCACAAATAACCATTAATAATTATAAATCCATTACTACCTATACTACACTTCCAAGGTGAAAAAAGCTCCACTGAGAAATCATGCTTTTAAATGAATGAGTAAAATGAGCAGTTGCCATATGGCAAGGAATTCACATTTCAATCATCTTTTTGTTTTATACTAGCAAAATTTAAAATACATTTGGCTAAATATAAAAATGTAATTTGTATAACGAATCAATTATATTCTTAAGTTTAAATATTCTTTTCTTTCTGGCTATACTTATATATTACTGTACCTAAGATATTTACCTTAAGCAATGTGTTTCTCTTCTAGTAAAAATCAGTGAATAACATTAGGGAAAAATTAGTAGGATAAATGATTTAAAACCTTTTCTTAGAATGGATTCTTATTCAGATGTCCTGAGAAAATGATACCTCACCCGTAGAAAGGAGTCAAGGGATCCATTCTCCATGAATTCAACCACTATCATTAGTGGTCTACCTGAAAAAAATACCAAAACAATGTATTAGGTTTATAGATACATTGAGAATTTGTTATATTTCCAGCTATTGTGAAAATATTAGTTTTGTACGCTCCCACAGGGCGGGGCTCCTCGGGGTGCCATTGGTCAGACAATGTCGACTGGCGACCTCCCGGGGCAGAGCCTTCTCAGTGGGGGTTCCTGCCCTCTGGAACGAGCTACCCCCAGAGGTACGGAGGATCCCGGACTTGCGCATCTTCCGCCATGCCCTGAAGACTTTGTTATTCCAGCAAGCCGGGCTAGCCTAATTTTAACGGTTTTAAATTTTAAATTGGATTTTAATGGGATGTTTTTAATTATGGGCCAAAGTATTTAATCTGGTTTTAAATTGTTTTTAATTTTTATATTTATGTATTTGATCTTGGCTGTTCACTGCCTTGACTTCTTTGGGAGAAGGGCGGTATATAAATATAATAAATAAATAAAATACATTTTTGTGTTGCTAAAATATGATTTCCCAATTCTTTTCTGTAGCAAAGATGCTCTACAAAGGACAAAATAGTATATTCTCCACATGAGGCTGTCCTTGAAGACCATCTTGAAGCTTTCATAGGTCCAGTATGTAGTGAAGCAAGCAGCAATGGACATGCCTTGATATGCCCATGTAACACCTCTGCTTTGCAAGCTGCACTGTCACTGTTTGCTTCCGGGTGCAATTGAAAGTGCTGGTATTTACCTATAAAGCCCTACATGATATAGGGCCTGATTACTAGAGGTACTGCTTGTCTTCCTTAACATTTTCCTGATTCAATCCTTCAGGATTGAAGCACTTTGGTTTCCTTTGTGTAAAAATGTCATAAATCGATACCCTGGGAGTGTGTGTTGTCTGTAACAGTGCCTGCCCTCTAAAATAAGATTCCCTTCCACTCTGCTGTTGTTCAGACAATCTGTGAAGATCAGTAACTTCAGCCTTTGGTAAGGAAGAGTGAGACTCTTCACTGCATTTATCATTTTTATCTTTATTTTTTATGTTTCATTGTATCTTTTTTATTGGTATGATCTTTAAGAGTTGGGTGGCAAACAAGTTTGATAAATTATTACTTCATTTTTTTATTATGTCCAAACTATGTATTATTTGGTTATAGCAGTGAATGAACCGAAGACATAAACTGAACTTTATGCTATATTTTTGTTTCAATAGCTTCAGTAAAAGGCTAATATGTATAACACATACCCTTGATGGACACAGCACTTAAAAGTCTGCTAGAAGGATTTCTATGTAAGTTCTAACAATTGAACCCTTTGGGACAGACCACCATAAATAGATTCCACAGAAAGATGAGGACTACATCTTATCGAGAAAATTGTAATAACAGAATGTTGCAAGACTGATTGTGCTTCCCCTCTTTCCCTCTTATGCCCCACTGTATCAGGGAGGAATCTACCTGAGTTTCTTCTGATGCTATCTTGTTTCCCGGCACTTAAAGAATATTTCAACTTTCTCTGTTTGCATAATAGTTCTTGCCTATTTTCCTCAAGGTCATATCCTTCAATCTCTGCATAACAGCAGCCCTTCCATTAGATGTAATATCTTTAGACAATAAAGACCATGTGCTACTGCTCCACTGATAAATGATAGCAATTCCTGTATCCCAAAGATCAGTTTTTTCTCCTTTACCTAAGCTACGGAATAATATCAACTCACCAGTGTTGAAATATGGTTCAGGTGGTAGTAAATATATATAATCTATTGATCTTGTTTAATTTACTGCAGCTAGCCATAATTGTAATCATGACTATGAAGGCATATATACATATACATATACATGTACATATACATATACATTACACACACATACATGCACATAGATGGACAAACATATCCACCCCAAAATAAAAAGCAATATATAATAAAAGGTATAATATCAAATTATTTAACGACAATTAAAATTAGTAATAGTCTAAGATACAATTCAATGGAAACATGTTCTCAGTGAGACTAGATGATCGCTCTTCAGTGTTTCAGATCTGCGTTTTTTTCCTGTGAAAAAGGCTGGGATTAAACTTGAGACATTCTGTGTTCAGTTGTTCAGCATTCATGAATGGTCTCTATTCCTGAGTGACAGTCTTTCATTTTAAACAAAATGTATCATTAACATTCAGTGTTTGAGACAAATGCATCCACATCACTTTGGTACTAATTTTGCTTTCCTTATTTACTTGAGAAGCTTTTACTGTTGGTATTCAGGAATAAACTATTACTCTAATATAACATAGAAAAATGGTCCAATTTACATGCTAATCAGGGCATCCCATCAGATGTTATTTAGGTAATGCTAATAATACAAAGAAGTGTATAATATATGCAGAACTACTGTAATGGATAATCTTACATGCAGGGTTGAAAAGAATATAATAAAACAACATACATATTTGTGGGACTGAATCTATTCTGTTTGAAATGAACATCAGATAAAACAATAAAAAGGATAAAGAACATGGGTACTTCCAAGGAGTCGTATTTTGCCTGCTATTATTTTTCATTACTTCTGCCCAGAGATATAAATAGATATATACAATATGGCCTGCCAGAACCTAACCTTGATGGAATTTTATGCTTCTCGCAATCTACTAAATATTTTTCAGCTTTATTTGTGAACTGAAAGATGTTTTAGATAACTAACCAAGCAAAAAACAAAACTGAGGTATTATTTAATCCATAGAAAGGCCTGCTACATTGAAATAAATGGAGGATAACTTGACAGCAGAAATAAGAATAGCTGGTGATGAAATTTTAACAGATTAATAGAGTTGGAAGGGACCTTGCAGGTCATCGAGTCCAACCCCCTGTCCAAGCAGGAGACCTTACATCTGCCTCTACCTAGGATCGAATTCACAACCTCCTGATTGTGAGGCAAGAGCTCCACCTCAAATCTATTGGGAAGGTCAGTAAGTAGAATTAAATAAGGAATGGAGTAAGCAAGGAAGTATTAGTGATATACAATAGGCAGATTTTATCAGAATCCAACATCATCATCATCATCATCCATTCTGATGACTATGTCTCATTTTTAACTATCTGTGTTCTTGGCTTCATGGAATCTGTTTATGGGCCTCACATCTTCCATAAAATAGGAAATTCATGGTACATCAGACATTATTGAACTATAATTCCAAAAACCATTGGAAGAAAAGACAGATGAAGAATATTAGAAACAGATTGAGGGTTACAGATTGCCTATTCCTGTTATAACTACTATACTCAGTCTGTTAGCATATGGAGGAAATAGTAAGATTGGGAGAATGAGGGGATAGGGTATTATCTTCTAATAATACTTCTAAACATTTAAAACATTTTAGAATTTATTTGGTCTAAAGGTATAAAGCTACTTACTTCATCTTTCTCTACTTTCAGAAACAAGTAGGGAATTGTTCCAGATTTTTCCTTGCAAGCCACCTCTCACACAGTGCATTTAAAATATCAGAAGATCAGACTGAAGACTCTATTGAAGATGTGAAGATTGAAGCCTGGTTCTCTGGAAAACTTTAAGATGCGTTTCTGTTTATAGCTAACCATATACCATGCAATCTTTTCTAAGAGACGTAACAGTTGGCTTGCACTTCTCTATTAACAATATGGTGATCTTGCCTTATTTTTCAATAACTCCTTGTGAACATTCTAGCAGTTAAAGAAAATCATATAATAGTGTTAGAATCAGATAGCTTGGCTAACTATGATTTAATATCCCAGCTAGGGCATGGCTGTCTATGCAAGATACTTCTTGTCTTCCTTATAGAAAAAGGTCAAGGTCAAAATAATTTCGAGTTTTCTTGCACAGAGTAGCAAAAGTTCAATTAACTGATATTCAGATCTATTGTTAATGCTGTCCTAAATGTCACTTAAACCAATTCAGGTCTGGCTTTCTGAGCAGTACTAAATTTCATTTAAATATTCACTATGCTCTCCCACAATAATACAGATTACTATATTGATGTCACTGTAGATAATTAAAAGGGTTAGGCATAGTTTGGTGCCTCAACACTGAGTGCTATTTCTATCAAGTAAGCTTATCACATTATTTATTTATTTGATTTGTATGGCCTGTCATCTCTTCTAAGTGTTTCAGTCACAAATAGGCTATAAATATATAAGAAAGAGTCACAGAACATTTTCAAACTTGAAGCTAGCCTTGTTACGGATTGGGAAGATACTATGTCTTGATAAAGTTATTACTGACAGTGAATAATTGTGATAACCACTGTACTGAATAGGCTACTGTGCCCGTTATTTAAGTATTGTAATATATAACATATTACTGTATAAATAAAATGGTCATCAGTATAGCAAAGAACCCCAGCCAAGAGACATTACCTAGCTGTCTTGGCTGATCTTGAATACTAAACAAGATTGGATCTGGTTAACTCTTTGATGAAAGATTATCAGGAAGTAGGAGGCTAGACTGAGAAATAAAGAAATATTTCAGAAGATGGCAAAGGCAAAGGTCTTCCTTTCCGTTATAAGAAGGCAGAAATGTTCAAGATATTACTAGGAGATGAGCCCATCTCAAGAGAAACTTTATTCTACAGCATGAAAAAAATCAGAGAGACTGTCTACTATATTTTATGTGGGTCATGTTGCATGAAGTTGCCAAAACTGGTATTTAATAGACATACAATTTGCTTGCCTATTAGCAATACATCAACACATAATAGGTGATACTATCTTGAATGGATAATAGTGAATTGGCTACTGTCAAGAAAGCTGCTGAGGTTACATTAAAAACTGCAACACCTGAGTCCTTATTAGCAGGACAAGTGTAAATCAATTGGTCTTTGGTCTATTTCCAAGAACCATTTAATCTTCTTTAGACTTAAAAGAAAAGGAAGGAAAGGAAAGTATGTTAATTGAAAACTGATGGATATAGGGAACAAGATTAAGGCAACAGAGTTAATGCCAATGCCAGTGAGCATAAAAATCTTTTACTAATGGTACAGGATGGTTTAAGATTATGTTGATGGG